TAGGCCTGTCACGATAACAACTTTTTGTTGTGCGATATATTGCCCCAGAAATAATTGCGATAAGCAATATTATTGTAATTTTAAATACCGTTTTATGCCACTGAATATATAATCATAATGTAACCACATAATAATGCAAGAAGGCCAACACAATTCCAAATGACAACAAACTTAAATTTTTTAAGAATATTTAGATTATGGAAATTAAGTATCAAAATATTAGATACCTTAAAAAACCTGAATAAATAGTAAATAATTTTCTAACAAAAAGTGCAAAGTAGCAAGTACAAAAAAAGAAAAATTCACAAAGAACTTGTATGGAGATTTTTCCATCTACAGATTTTTCCCTTATCTTCTTTTCTCTGTAAATTAAAGGTGCACACTATTCCTGAAAAACACAATCCCTACTTAGCAGTCAGATGTCCGTATGCACAAAGGCACAGATCCCTAAACAGATCCATTTGCAGATGAAACTTTTTTTTGTAGAAGCATTTTTTAAATGTGAACTAGCACCTCATGACTACACCACATTATGTACAAGAAGCTGCAAAAGACACAGACGCAAATGGAATGTACAAAACATAGTGACATTAATTTTTAAGTAAATATAATGGGCGATATATTGCGTCACCAAAAATGATTGCGGTCATGTACATATATTGTGCGATAAGTCGATATATTGATTATTGCGACAGGCCTAGGAGTGAATGACCAGCGCTCTCTTCCACCTTCATACGATGACGAGGTGAGACCCTTGAGCAAGGCACCGAACCCCCAACTGCTCCCCGGGCTTCACAGCAAAAAATGGCTGCCCGTGATGGAGATTTACCACTGATTACAGAACCGGCTTTACTGACAAGATGCGTATTAAATTTTTCATGCGATTTATCGTGCAGCCTTGTGTGTTCACTACTCACTGTTAGGATATCATACTTGGCTACATGTCATGTCACTTTAACTTTTTTCACTTCACTAATATCTCAAGTAATTAAAATTATTTTTATAGTCTTAGCTTACAATAATAACCCTGGAACAACTATGTACATTTGAATAGTTTCCTTCAAACACACAAGATTCAATTCTGAAATCCTTTGCTTAACCAGAATAATCTAATCTGCAGGACAATGGCTGTTTCAGAGGACTAAATTTACATAGATGTTCTTACCTTCCGTCAAGCTCCCTCACAGCATCAGTTGCATCTCTGGGGTCCTCAAACTCCACAAAAGCAAAGCCGGGAGGATTTCTTGCCACCCACACGCTCCTCAGGGGACCATAATAGCCAAATGCTCTCTCCAACTCAGTTTTGTTACCACTGTTGCCCAAATTGCCAACATAGACCTTACAATCCAGTGGGCAGTCCCGGCTTAGGGAAGGGTCTGTAGAAGAAGAAAAAAAAAAAAGTTTAGTTTCATCATCATTCTGTATTTTTAGGTGCCATATGTCAATCCCACCTCTTCTAGCACACTAAAATGGATCATAGCTGGAGTGGATGTTAGAAGAGAGTAATAAAGACTTACCTCCCATATCTTCACCAACCCCAAACTCAGCTGCACACCTAAAATGCTGCAAGAAATTAAACCTAAGCAAAGAGACTTTGAATATGCAATTAAACTGGATGATAGAAGCCTAACGTGTCAGCTGTGTTACGTTTAAAAGATGCAATATGTAACGATCAAAATCGTCACTAAAGAGGTTGAAAACTGATTTTGGAACCAATGAAAACACTAGCATGTAACACTGGATTACTAAAAAGGATTTATAAAACTCATTAAAAGCGTCTTTATAGGTAAACTACAAACATACAAGCGACAGTAAAATTATTTATAGAACAACACTGTTTTAATAAAGTCTAATTAAACGTAATACGAATGGATTTGTTACACACTAAACGTATGTACCAAGCTAACAGCTTAGCTTAGCTTGAACGTTCACAGGACTACACACTTCAACCGAGCAAGAACAGGCATATCAAAGTGATTTAAATGGGAAAAGTAGACTACTTTATAATTTACGTGCACCTTATACAGTTATTAAATAACGGAGGTTTAATTTTTCTTACCGGTAAATCTGCTTTATTTGCGCTAGCAAAATCGAAAACTCACCACTGCGGCTGAACACTGTGATGCTAGCGCGCTAATAGTGACAGCGGTGACTCTTCTTCTTCTTTTTTCTTTTACTGGCAACCGCACTTAACAGTGCATTACTGCCATCATCAGGTAGCTTGGATCAGAAACATTTCCTCTATCTCTTAACATATTCTTACCGGGGTGCCTCGCGAGCAAATCTAAATGTAAAGCACTTCCGGTTATCGGCAAGAACACGGACGTCGAAAGAAAAGCTCTTTTAGGCCTAACAATATCGAAGTGCTACATTTCTGCTCAGAAACAGCCACCACACACCTGAGACAACGATATTTGAAGGCTGCAAATGTTTTAATAGTTCACATCACAGTGTCAGTTATAGATAACAGTTATAAACAACACACCTTACCTTTTCGTTCTTTATACGTTATAATGAATGAAGCTATCTCAGAACTACTTCGGAGAATACTCAACATTGTTTTCATTAGTTGTTAACATTAACAAATTAATTATATATTTATATTCATATGTTCAATACTTGTTTTAGAATATATAGGTATGTAGGCTATACTTATTTTATATTTCTCTGTAATATTTTACATGTACAATGCATGTGATCAAAATCATCACATTGTTTTGGAAATAAAAAAACTGAATGAAATACAAATATATCTTTTTTTTAATTAAATTATTATTATTATTTTGTGTGTTACTTTTGGTGATATGAGATGTAATATGTGCAATATTATAACCCCTTTGATTAGCAAAATAAGGTGTCAGAAGTAGAGGTGTCAGACCCTCAACAACTTGTTTAGGCTCGTTTATGTCACCATCCCACCTTTTTGTTGTTGTCCTTTTTCTCTATCAAATCTTTTAGTAATCATCATAAATCATATATCACTTGAAAGATGAGAAGCCCAAGATTCATTCTGTGAAAACCATTTTGAAATCGGACACTGCATTACCGTGGAAATGGTACTTTAAAATCTTTTGGCGGTCTCCTCCCCTTAGTGGGCAGTGTCAAGTGTCATATTACAAAATGCATTACGGTCTTTTAGAATCAAACCTTTTTATAATCTTGACAAAAAACATATCATTGGAAAGGTCTGAGTCTTATTTTGATAGAAGTAATATTGACAGAGAAATTTAGACATTTGTGACAGAAAAATGCATTAAAAAAATTCAGTGGAGTTTGGATGGCACCCGGTGGCTGTTTGTGGTATAACGCCCTAAATAAAATCTCACAGGAACCTCAATTTTTTTCATATCAACTTCAAATTAGGAACATAACTTATTTAGACATAAGGCTTTAATTTTATACCAATTTTAGAGTAAAACCTGTTATGTAAAATATTTAT